TGACAAATAAGTAGGACAAACTCCTGCAAAAACCTCTTTAACTAGGAAAAAGCAAGAAACTTCAGGAAGAACAGAGAAGGGATCCCTCTTCCAGGACAGACATGCAATAGATTGTGTGTACAGAACAAAGGAACATTACCAAACCGGTCCCAAATAGACCAGCTTGGTCAGTGGCCCTCCCTTCAAAATTGGACACTGTAGGTATCCCTCTAGCGTTATTTCTGGATGCACCCGCTGTTAAAGTCAGGTGATGTAGTATAAAGAGCAAGAGAGTCTGCATATAGAGGTGGTGGGGTGGATAGATGGTCCAAACAAGCAAAACTTTAACCAATTAGACTGCAGTTCGTGTCCTGTGTGAAACCAAAAGTCTAATTCTTCTTGTTTCTTTTAAAGTTATTTTTTTGGCCTTTGGTTGGCTTTAACTTATAATCTTTTCCAAAAACTAAGGAAGTAGTTTTTGTGCCTATACCTAACCAAACTGGGACTGTTTTACGTTAACCACACAAGCTTTATTTCTTTCTTTTATTTAAGTCCAACCGGATGCCATATATTTATAATTACTAACTTGACTGGAAGTTGCAGATGTTGCATATTTATTCTTGCTAACTTGACCACGGACCCCTGCACATCCAGAAATGATGCAAGAGGGAAACCTACAGCCTCACATTTTGAAGTGAAGGGCTACTGACCAAGAAGTAGTATTTGACAAGTTGAGAGTGGGAACATGCTAAAAATGACAGTAAAGACAATCATGATGACAACTCTGTAAAGCAAGGCGGTATATGTGTGGTATGTTACCTGCTAAGAGGATGTGTTGAAGGCCTCCTGGGGGCAGCAAACAGGTTGAGGAGGGCAGCAACACTGGCAGGGAGGACTGTGTACACTGAGCCAGTAGAGCATGGAGGTAGCTGAACTTCAGCGGGTCACCTGGGTCAGACACATGTAATGTAGCACAATACAATCTTAATTAATCCTAATGTCCCGCAAAAATACATTAATTTATTGTTCCCCTGGCACAATTAGCATATTGGTATGACCCGCCTTTGAAAATATAAATGTGTTGGATTAGTCAATCTTTAAGGCAGCCAATGCAGGTTTCATTGCATATTTTACAGACAAACACCTCATACTAGTGATTATAAATATAAGCACATTTTAATATATATTTATATTTACATATAATACAACCATCATTACTTCTGACTATTTTCCAAAGCTGACCAAAGTGTTTTTTTAATCTCTCTGAAAGGACCTCCTCAACCCTTTGAAGTACCTCAAGGGTCAGTCCTTGGGCCTATACTATTCTCCATCTACATGTTTCCTCAGGTCACTCAGTGTACAGTTCTATGCAGATGCCTACCAGGTCTACTTCTCCTTTGATTTTAACATTACCATCCATGCATTTGAGCACATCCATGACTCTATTACAGAAGTTTAAAACTGGCCTTTTCAAAATGCCTACAAATTCTGATAAATTTGGAAACTTGTTTTATAAATGACTAAATAAATAATGTTATATTATTATTTTTTTTAATATATTGTTTTGGGGCTTTTTGCTTTTATAGGATAGTGACAGCTGAAGATAGACAGGAAAGGGGAAGAGAGAGAGAGGGGATGACATGCAGCAAATGGTCCATGTGGTGCCAGCTGACCTATCAGGGCACCCCATATTATCTTTTTTTTTTTTTTTTTTTACAAATGAAAAATTTTAGTGGTCTAGAATCCTCATTCAAATGTATACAACTCCACCTCTTTCACCTGATATACATATGACATATACTGTCAATAAATAGTGACACTCACAAGATTCCGACAAATTATACCTTTAGCAACGGGGCGGTCCTCAATAATAATTTTTCCCAGTCGACCCATAAGCTGGGAAGCCAACTGACAGGGGTCCTGCAGCAGCACCGCTCTAGACATTTCAAGAGCACCCGACAGCACCTCGACATCCACCAGCACCCTAGGGGGAGAGAAAGTACGTATTTATACAGATAAAATAACAGAGGGATATACTGCAACAAATAAGTCTGAATACATACGCCTCTTTCCTCATGTGTATGATTCAGTGCTTTGACGCAACAAAGATGCAAAAGACAAAATTCTGTATTCTGCATCATGAATCGCCATACAGAACAGGTAGCTTTATACATTTAGCCTTTTCACATGGTCGGGCAACAACAAGTTTTTATTCTTGTGAACAATGTGTATCTTGCTATATACTGTATCATCAATGTTATGTACAGTTTAAGACAAAAAGACAGCCTTCTGTCTGTCCTCTGATAGGACCTACTTGTCTGGCAGCACAGCCTTGTTCAAGTCCTCCTTGATGTCCAGGACAGACAGACCCCAGGCCTTATGCAGCAGGAACTCATAGTTGAAAATGCATTCAGACAGGAAAGGCAGGATTTGGCCTGAGTGGACCAGGTGGTAGGGCAACCCATGAAGCTTCCTCAAATTGAATTTATAACTTTTAGTCATACCTTCACCATCCTCTCCCTCATTTAATGTCCATGCCAGTGGCTGGAATATGTGTGTGTGTTGCGACTTGTCTTGGTAATAGGCAGCATAGTCTGCATGTAAAGCCATGCGAGAATCAACTGTTTTTAAATAGTGGTTCATGCACACATGGCTCAGCTCAGAATGAGTCCAACGGTACACCCACGTCCGATCTGTCCTGACCTCGGTTAGGTGACGGCCGAGGCCACGTCTCAGTCGAGCCCACAAGACATAAGGCACCCTTGGTTTGCTGGAAGAGGAGTGACATGAGGTCACTTCCTGGAGCACCTTCCCATCTCGGGCCAGTAGGTCCAGTAACTCCTGAAGATGGACATAAACATAAACTGAATCAGAATTTCAAATTGAGCCTGGATCCTTGTAGCTGGATACTGCTACTTAAATAATCCAGGTTTTGGGAACTATATTGCCTCATGACTGTAGGGTTTGAAGCTAGGACATTGTTAGCTTACCTTAGCACAAACACTGGAAGTAGGGGCCAGCTACATATGCCAGCTAACCTGGATCTGTCCTAAGTTTAAAAATATACCTGGCAACACCTCTAAAGCTCAATAATTAACACATTGGTTCTCGTTTGGTTGAATCCATACAGAAAACAGAAATGTAAAACAACAAACTGTGCTTTAGTAAGAGTTTGATTGAGTTATATGGTTTGTTGATCTGATTGGTCACCTGGCGCAGTCAGGGGTAATAATAATCTATTTCCTTGCAATTAAGTTGTAGAAAACTTTAAGTCATCCATTCTTTTATCAGATCAGTCCGTTTTGAATTGTGTCTAGCTTTATGGAGTGGTTACAACTAAAAGAGAGGCATAGCTTTGTTTCATCAGCATACAGTTAGAATGTGGCCAAGGGGAAGCATGCAGCAGGTCTTGGTCACAGCATGGTACCAAAAACTGAACCTTGTGGCACACCGAATATATTAAAGGGGGTAGAAATGTTGCACATATTGCCCCATTCAGTGTAATCCAACTCTGACTATAACTATTTCAGTGATTATATATTAATTATAGAAATCTATAGGAAGCCCTAAAAGGTCATAACATACCCCTCCAGAGCCAGATTTCCATAATGTAAATAATGATAAATGTAGTTTTAAGGTCAATAATAGAAATGCCTTCCAGACAGCATCTAACCATTATTCAACCAATGCTGGGTGTCCAAGCCAGGATGGCCAACCTGTGATCACTGGCACAGGCTTTACCCATATCTGCATGTTGATTTCCAGTGTGCGCTAAGGTGATGCTAAACTGCTTGTAGGAAAAAATCTAAAAACAAAAGTGATTAGTGATAATGTGTATGTGCAGCTTGTGGTTAAATGTAGCGTTCTCCACCTGTTCAGTGACACCCCAACGTGAGATGGATATCAGAGACGCAGCCCGTCTCACCAGCTGCCTACCCAGCTCTCTCTCCAGGCGAGCTAGCACACCAAGGTAGAGGCCCTCCAGGCTAGGTGGAAGGCTGAGGCTTGCCTGGGGGGAGTAGGAGGTCCAGAGCATGCTCTCAGAGTAAGCTGCTTCTAGGTACAGAGGACAGGGGCAGGACAGGCAGGCGTGGACCAGCAGCTGCCACTGCTGCTCCTGCAGACACCGCTGGTCAGTCCGCAGCTTGGTCTCTAATGCAGCTGTGATGTCCTCAGGACTGAGTGGGGGGATGGACAGGACTGTGGGAAGGGCTGACTGTTGGTTGGTGAGAAAGAGAAAACTATAAATCAAAGAAAGATGGAAATAATACAGGAAGTTGAGGCAAGTTGTTGGTAGGACCTGTGTGGTGTCGTGTTTGGGGCCGAGCTGCTTCTAACATTAGCTCAGCTTGTTTCTCTGATAACTTAAGATCCAGACGTCCGATGACTAAAATCCTTCATCCGGTTCAAATCTAGAGTTAAAAAGC